TGAAATTTATTTACTTGAGGAGTCGATCTTACAAAACCAATTCCCATGGCGCTGAGCCATCCTAATTCACTAGCCGATCCTACATTCCTAAAAAAACAGGGAAGTAATAAAAAGACAGTATCCATTTGAGTTTCTCAAAATATACGAGGCGCTCTTGTTTCAATATTGTCTCATGTAGTCGTCTAAAAGCCTGTCAAAGCGCCCAGTGACTCGTGGGATCTGACATTGAAGTCTGGGTCCTAGAGTCGCTTCGACCGCCAGTCTATTAAACTGTCAATCAAATAAGACAACTCTCAAAAGAGTAGGGCTATGGAGGTCCTTCTGCAAAAACTATGGAAAAGGAATGTACCGCCAAGCAGTTCGGAGTGATGCCCTATTAAAATTCTGATTCCGTAGATTCAGGGCGTCAGAGAGCGGGAAATGCGGAGTCCTGTGGCTTGAAGGATCAAGGGCTTTTACACTCTCATACAGCTAAAGTCCTATCTGACCCGATTATCCAGATCGTCACCTTAACAGTTTGATGGAATTCCCGATCCTCACATCAACCTGGGCACCTGCCCTCGCAATCGAGTGACTTTGAGTATTCAACTGGAAGTATCCCCCACGAACACCCGAATAGTCTTTCCATTCGCTGATGAGATGACGTTGCAATGTTTTTGGAAAACATGGTCAACATGAAACTGATCCTTTCCCCCTTTAAAACCACATTGCCCGCAGATGGGGTCCAAAAATGTTCCAAAATTAGAACAAAATTAGAAGATTAAGTTAGAAAATGTAAACAGAAAACATTTCACAAGAGCTACCATTTTAGTCCAAAGAGGAAGGGCTTTAGTGAACAAAGATGCCAATAGAAGTGTCATACCTTCTCAGTTATCCTCCACTGTGAAAATGATTTCACATGATAAAGANTGATCAATCCCGTCTAAGGGATGCGCCCCGCACTCGACTTCCATTCAGAATCGTAGTGGGGTAATGAGTGCGTATGTGGCCTATACTTGCGGTGGACAGCCGATGTACAAGTCAGTACTTTTTTCCTCCCAACGAGTCCGGTCCCAATCAACCGACCTCGGAGGGATGAAAGTTTGGTTGGCTTAGACAGATATCGTTCCAGTATTCGAGCCCGAGACTATGCGTGTGTGACAGGGCGTAACTTGCCACTATAGACCTCTGCCCAATTTTACAAAACAGTATCAACAAATGATAAAATACCTAGGAAATGAATGAGCCATTGGCAGAACTATCCCCTTCAACTGATTTCCACTGCCATCCTGTCTCACAGCGTGTTGCGGCAGGGTCAAGAGGATCTGATCCCATCGCGAATAAAGCTGTAAAGACGTAGGGGCCGAAGTTTCGTTTTCCTCGTAGATCTGCTTGATTGACATCCTTCAAGTATTCATTGCCGGTAATCGATCCATCTCGTAAGAAGGCAGGTTGAAATCGAAGCTGAAGGAAGGCTAATGAAGTCCTGTATCTGTGGCTTAGGTGACAGGCATGGTTTTCGGAGAACACAGGTACAGGTTCAAGCCCCTTTCGAGACTGAACCTTTTGCCCATAACTCAGCAACCATCCCCTCCCTAGTATCATTTCAAAACATTTCATTCCATGTTGAACTAGACTGGACATCACAAATGGCCCGAAAAGCATGACATCCATTATTGCAGGATTCCGTCACGTTCCACTGTTGAATAGCGAAGGTGACCCACTTCCTAATGCTACGCTCTTCGTGCACGTCGCTGTCACCAACAAACGCGGTGGTGGGGTAAGTTCATCTCTGGATTGAGGTCTACTTTTTCATTATGGCCAACAAAACGGTGTAAAGTGAAGCAGGGGAGAGTTGGAGACACCCCCTTTCCAGAAATTGACTTCACCCTGCTTCCCATGAAAAAGAGAAACCCTTCTAACCTTTCGAGAGGCATCCATTAGATCAGTTTATGACTGAGGGCCACAGCAAGTATCCAAATCTTCCTCCGATGCCTCTAGAACTGATTCTTCTAACCAAATCGGTCAGAGGTTGCCATCAGCTCTAAAAGACTGACTGAGCTTGGTAGTGGGCGTGGCCGCCGTTCTCCATCGGATTAACGTCGATTTGTTTAGAAAGCCAAGAAACGGGGCATGTCAGTGAAGCGTAAGTCCAGTCGAGTGAACACCGGCATGAAGCTCGTCGGAATCAAGGCGAGTTCTTTGCTTTTACTTTCAATACTCTTCCAATTCCAGTGATTCAACAAATTCATGGTTTTCTCCAAATAGGTCAATCGACTCCGAGTAATTCTCTTTCTGTGAAAAGCTATGTGTTTTTGTCGGCTCTATTTCAACTCTGACTACCTAGTTTTATACTTTGCAATTAGAGTAACTCTCACAAAAAAGTAAAAAGTAGAGTAGAAGTAATAGGTAAGTGTTATGTTCGGATGCCTAATAATTCAGTAGGTTTTAAAAAGTCTGAATAAAAAAGCGTGGGTTAGATTATTGGATTCATCAGACATATGGGTCCCCTAAGTACTTCCCAGTTGCTACCCCACCCATTTTGTTGGTAGACCCCACACGACGAATTCCTCATATCCCCTTTCATAAGTGCATGAAATAGCCTCCTGCCTTTTCTTCCACTCGTCAAAGTTTTTTCATCTAAGTGCATAGACAACTTCGGAAGGCTTTTTCCTACTTGCTCTGGAATGTGGCATTACCACTCCTTTTCCTGAAAGGTGCCCATTGCCTATTATGTGGTGAGAGTGGGGAGTTTCAATAAGTGACAAGCAGTGTCACTATATCAAGCTCTTCCTCGAAATGAGTTTCCCAGATTGAGCTCCAGCCAATCAATAGAGACTCCTATCCTCTTGGGATAAGAAAAACAAAATCAAATTCGTCTAAGAAGAAAAAAATTGACCTTTAGAACGCCGGCGCCTGCATGTCACATTGTGGGCCAAATATAGGAGTAGTACTGAAGCTTCCCTAGTAAATCCACAATCATTATACCTTGGGTAAAACTGACATTCACTTCAGCCCTTATCTATCTCGAAGAGCTAGTCCAAATCATTGCTAAAGACTACTTCAGTATTTTGTCAAGCGCTTAAAACTCGAGTCAAGTAACACCTCTGCGTTCTCCCCCCTGAACTTACATTCATCAACTCCAACTAACTTAAAAAGGATAAAGGATAAAGTTTGGCGTTAATCAATCCCGTTCGAGGGATGCGCCCCGCACTCTACTTCCATTCAAAATCGTTAGTGGCGTAATAAGTGCTTATGTGGCCTATACAATGACTTCCGGTGGCCAGCCGGTGTACAAGTCAGTGCTTTCATACTCCCAGACGAGTCTGGTACCAATTAAATGACCCTAGATGGATGGAAGGCTTGGATGGCCTAGGCGGATATCGACCGGGACTCGAAACCCGGGCTTTCTAAAATATTTCCCCTATGAGC